ATTCTCTCTTACTGTAGTCAGCCAGGCACCCCCCTGACTTCTCCGGATTGTCTTCTGCATTGCAGTCCATAGAGACTCCATGGAGTCCATCTCCCTTCTGGTACCATCAAATTGTATAGTAACTGAGGTAGGAAGGAACCTCTGAAGGTCATCTAGTCCAACCTCCACTCAGAGTGGGTCCATGCAGATCAAGTTCTAACATGAAGAACTACTCAGCTCTGAAGGAAATGCTTTGTCATGTCTCAGCCTACAGGGATGCCCTTGGGCTGTCCTATACTAAATAAACCTCTTCAGATTAAATGAAGGGACTTAACATCTTGAATTTATAAAGAAAGGAGCATGTTGAGGTATATGGTCTCCATACTACTTCAGTTTGTTTTCAGTTGTTCTTTTTTCAAACCCTGATTGACTCAGGAAATGTAGAAATGTAGCAAAAGTAATTTAAAAGACATACACAAAACAAAAAACCCAAAATTCTGCCCATATGACTGGCATTGGATGGCATGGCACTGGATGGCATTAATGCCGTTCAGTCTCTGAGTGAAAATTGTTATGCTTGACTGTGAAGTGGGCATTTTTGAAGTGAATGAGCATTTTCTTGTGCTAGGAGATTTTCCAGTACTAGAGAACCTGGAGGCAGTGTCCAGACCGCAGACAGTTGGGACTTCTGAGGGGAGGAGTGTTTGATAGCCTTCCAAATGTGGATATTCTTATAGTTGTTAAGGTCTGATTTCAAAAGGAGATGCCAAAATAATCGAATTGATGATCTAGTAGAAAGGACACATCTCTAAAACAAGGGGTAACAGCCTTGAATGTGGATGCTAACCAAAAAGTCATGATTGGAAGCCAGGATATATTACCGCTAATGTCAAACATTCTCTTTCAGAGAAGCTCTGCTTCACACCACTCATCTATGCAACCTGCCCAGCACGTGCCAAATTACCTAGAAAGGGCATTTGACAGAAATCAAAATGCATCCTACGATGAGGTGAGATAGCTGAAGAAGGAAGTCTCTACACAGTTTCTCTATGTAGAACCATGAGCATGATATAGAGAATGGGCGTATTTTGAACAAAGATAACATCCTGTATGCATGGAAAAAAATTTAAAGTATTAATTTGAACAGATATAAAAATATAACCAGAATATCTGTTGGAATACTCATGTGCTTATAGACCTGCTTAAGATCTGGAAAAAGGGTATGATTTTTGTCACTGGTAACTGGTACCTTTTTGGATAAAAGATGACAGGCACATGAGGAAAGCATACACCTGAATCTGACTTGTGAATTTTGTTTTCAGTTTTCCTGTTCTCCTGAGATCTTGGAGGGGATTGGCCTTCCACTTGGTAAGCAACAAGTGCTAAACCCAGAGAAAGCAACTCTCGGAAGTTCAACTCAGTAAAAATATTTGATACGGTATAGACACAAAATATAATAGATTGATATGATAGAGATGATGATAGAATTTTATCATCGTGGGTAAAAGGAAAACAAAAAGAGTGGGTTTCTAGGGCCAGTGTCTTCTAGTAGGGTATGCTTATTGGTAGCATATTGTGATGGTGGTGGTAACTTCTGAAGACTGATCACTAGCCTCTGTATACCAGAGAGCTGAATTGCTTTGGGTAAGTAAGTAAGTGAGCCACTTTGCATTATGGGAGCAAGCCCAATTCACCTTTTTGTGAATCCCAACAGTAGTTATTAAATGCTGTACAGTCCCTAGGACATCCTGAATAAAAACAGCTATGAATGGTAGCTTGAACTATTCCCAGTTTACACGAACATCTTTCTTCATTCCAAATATTGGACAGATCAGACATTTAAATAATGCTGGGTGCAGGTATAATAACTACTCTCTATTTAAAGCCCCACAAGGTTAACATCGCTTCCTTTGTGAAAAATAGATGCAGAGACATCCCGGCCACGTAGCAGGACAGGGATGTCAGAGGCCCTGGCACTTGCTTTGCGTGCTAGACAAGAAGCTGAAGGGGGAGACGAAGATGACAACAAGGATTTTTGACCATGATCGTACAGATGAATGTTAATAATCACTGACTAATGTTCTGCAGAAAGCAATAGTTTTGTACTAATGACTGAAAGAACCATTAAAATATTTTGGGGGTATTTTTTTTCCAGATGGAAGAAAAAGTAGAACAATAGATTACAAGATGCACCCTAATTGCAGCTTATTGTATGACATGGAATACACTGCGTGTTTCGTTTGGTTTTGAAGTAGTGCAATTCTAATGATAATAAGCCTTCACCCAGGACTGGCTATTGCATCACTGCAGTAAGGGTTCTTCCACAGCTGGTCATTTGTTGTTGACTAAACATAGGGAAACTTGTGCCTAATTGTAAATAAAAACTTTAGCCTAAATATACTTTTATATTGTTCAAACTATTTTTATCTGATCTAACAAAAAAAATGGAGTATTGGTCAAATAAAGATAGAGGGAAATTAAACTACAGTTGTTTTTAATGACTGAGACATTTTAATAGCTGCAAAGCAACTCGAATGAACCATTGTTAAACCTTTGCTCCATTTTCACTCCTTTTTGAGCCATTTTTGTAGGGATTACTATAGTCACTCAAAAGCAGTTTTGATGTTAGAAGTTTTCAGAACTCTGCTTTTTTTTAAGGGTAACTTTACTTTCAACATTCTGTTCCAAGTGCTTGTAAACAAAAAACTTGTGACATTTATCCTTTCCGGTAAAGGATGAATAGGAAGTAACTAATTAGGGACTTTTCATTTTATGTGGCTTTGAGACACTTGCTGCAGCTTCTTTTTATTGGAAGCCACAGCTTGGCAAGGATCATAAATTTCAGCTCTTTTTTTTGCTTCTTTTCCACTTTACTGCTTAGCTATATGTCTTCCTTTTCTTCATCTGCACACAACTCCTGAGATGTGTTTCACCTAGTAAAATGCTGTGAAACAACAGCAAGACCAAGGGCAGGCAAGACTTGGTATGTATATACTTGCACAATGTAGGGAAGCATGAAGATTTCTAAAGCAACTTGAAGCAAAACAGAAAATGAAGCCTGAGCTGAGAGGCATTGTTCTGGGTCTTCTAAACATGTTTCTTGTTCAAGAATATAACCTGCAATAACGTGTTTGTATTTGGAAGCTGGTCCGTATTTTTGTAACCGGTTCCAGTCCTTTTCCCTCCCTCTGCCCCTTTAGGATTTTTGCCTGTGGAAGACTGGAGATTTTGTTTGTTTATTGCTCCCTAGCTGCTTAGGACAGAATATCCTGGAGGAAAGAGGCACATCTCTTCCTCAGGCTCATAATTTAGGTTAAAGACAACCCAAAAATAGCTACCAAAGGTATAGGAAAAAAAGGGCAAAATTTACACACAGTGCAAGACCAAAGATTCAATTTTATTAAGTTTTGCTGTATACATAGCTCTAGAGCAGTAGCAGTGTAGTAGTAGTGAGTATTTGAGAATAGGCCTCGTGTTAGCACTGCGGACAGTGACTCAGTAGGGCCAGGACCCAAGAAGCAATAAAAACAATGGAACTTTAGAGCGAGGGATGTTTGCCAGGAAGCCAGCTCTTCTGATCCAGAGCCGTGAGAGCCAGCTGTAGCACACAGCAGTGTGCATAGATTTGATACAAGATGTGCAGCAGAAGATTGAGAGGAGGACCATTGGTTCTGCAGTACGTGGTGGAAGAGCGACACAAGCAGAAAAGGCTTTCATAATCCTGATTGATAGCAAAGCTACTTCAGCCAGTCTGGCACTCCTCCTTATCCTAAATGTCTTTGTATTTATATATAATTTGAGACTCAAGAAAAAAGATCATCCACCCTTTGCAGAAAGTAGCATTCATTGGCTAAAAATCTTAGCACTTGGATACCTGTGTAACAAATTCATTGTTTAAGAAAATGTTTGTAATAGCTGTTGCTGTCAATGTCCATTTGACCCCAGCTACAGCAGCTTTGTTTGCATCTGTGGTAGCATATAAAGCTATTTATTTCCAGAACCTATTTGATGCTCTTTTCATCAACTCATTTGATAATAATTGCACCCTTCACTGCTCTCTTCCAGGAGAGAGTAAGTGCTGGAGCAAATAAACAATCCTCACACTAAAAACAGACTTCATAACCAGACTGGAAAGTAAGAATTTTTGAAGCATGGCATGCACCAAGCAATGTGCATCATCACTGCCAAGTGCATTCAGGAGTACTGCCTCACTGAAGAGGGGAGATGCATTATACCTGCCACTAATCCAGAAGTTTGGACTTGCTTTCATTGGGACAGTTGTTTAGTTTTTTCCACTGCTCACTTTTTTTTTTTTTTTAATTACCTTCTATCTTTTTATAGAGGTTGATTTTAAATATTAGTTAGCTGTGTGAAGTAAGAACTAAGAGGTTTACTCTCAAGAACTGTTTAAAGCAATGTACCAAACTGTACCACTGATCCACGTAATCTGCTGTCCTACTTGTAGGTACAGTTCTCCCACAGCACATTATGAAGTGCCCGGACAGTGTGCAGTGCCTTATCTCAGCTGAAAAGCAGCAAGGCCTAAACAAAGAAGGAATTTAACAACACTGAAGTAGTACAAGGGACTAGCTTACTACAACACGATTACGCTTTCTACTCAAACACACATTGCTACACATGGCAGTCTAAAGGTATCTTGTGAGAGTACATCTCCATAAACTGCAGCAGGTAACCAATCAGTTAAATGATTGAATTCTTCATTTATACTGAAATTAATTTCCCCTTCTTTTAAAATGAAATCAATTATTCAACTTGGTAAATTTGCCAAGTATTTGGCCTTTAAGAAAAGGTAGCTTCATTTCTGCTCGTTAGCATTGACAGTCTTCTCTAACTACCAGCTATTTCCAGAGCAGAACTAAAATTGTTCATGGGAAGTCAATTGTTGCTGTAAAGGGAAAAGGGTTTTACTCATTAGAAAAAACATCATGCAACCTCACTGCACTAATTTTCAGATACTACATCAATCTGATGATAAGCAGCTGACAAAATATACAGTACCCTTGAAAGTACAAACACATGTTTATTGTAACTGCAGACTTTGATTTCAAATTAAATCTGGATGACAGATTCACACATATCCTTGTCCTTCAATCATGCAAACAATTCTCCAGCCAGCTACAAAAGGCATTTCAGCTCTATTTGTTCTACAGCTAGCACCACTCAATATACAGCTTTCTCTGAAAAATAAATAAATTCATGTGCGTTACCGTTGGAAGGAATAATTTTCTGTCCTGCCTTACTTCTTTTAAAAAGACCAGAAGGTTAAGAAGGTTCTCAAGTTTGAATCATTAATGCTCATAGTCTTACACTGAACATGGGAAGTTGGCTTTTATTTCCTTGTCAGGATACAACATGGCCATCTTCCCACGCAGTAGGAGGGAAGTATTACTTGCACTCCACTTTGGCATTGTTATTTTCAGGTTCTGTTTTAAGAACAGTAATATAGATACTTTTAAGACGCCATAGATGCACCTCAAATTATTACACAGTTGTAGAACAGATTGTTTAAATTACTAGAATCAAGGTATGATTTTAAATTATGTCAAGAAAAAATGCTGATTTGACTTTATAACCAAGACTTAAGCGAAGCAAAGGAATAGTCTGAGAATCAGAAAGCAATCTGCACATACAGCTCATTACCCAGTTAGCTTGTCAAAACTCATCCTTTTACATTGTACTGTGATTTCCTCAAATTTACACACACTCAGTGCTTCTCCCTGGACTAATAATGTTTGCACCTCAGCTTTATCCAGTGTTGCAACAGAGGGTTTTTCTGCATTCAAGATCTGATCAAACAGTAGAAGTAAACCACTGCTCTTCCTTTCTCCAGAACGATCATTAGCAGTCCCATCTGCATTGTGGTATACCCTCTTGATGGTAAATTCAGACCTGCCACAGTAAGATGGCCTCTTTAAATCGGTGAGCAGGTCTAGTACAGGTCTAGTAGTGAGGATCACAGTCTTCCACCAAGCTGTCTGTGATGTAGCTGGCTTCAAGGACGGTTTCATAATATCTTTTTTCTGCAAAGGTGTTCACTGTCCAGGCAACCACTTGAATTCCTTTTGAAGACCAGTGCCTCACATACTCTCTGTAAAGAACAAAGAAACCGTAAGAGGAAGACAAACACTACCATACTTAAGGCAGACAGCACTCAAGCTAAAACTGCGTTTTAGTCTTACATCAGCATTTCATCAAGAATGACAGCATGTCATCTTTTTGCAGCAGAACACTGTAAACAGGCAAAAGCAACAATTTTCTTCTTTGAAATTAAACTTAAGATCTAACATAAGGTAAAAATACAGATTTAAAAGACAGAGGCTTAAGTATAATGAAATAGCATACAGTGAATAAACTATCCAAACAGCATTACACCATACTAAATTGAGCACACCAATGAGCAGGTGCTATGTTAGCTTCACCTTTGTATATTAGTAGAATGGTATTGCCTCCCGATACATTAGCAAGCTTTAAACACTTACTGAGAAACAAAATTTTTCTGTATGAGGAAAGCTGAAACACCACATAATCGCCACAAGAAACTATGTAGGCTCCAATCTAGAATGACATCCATCATCATATACCAATAATGTTTCCAGAAGGAATCAAAACGAGGTGTCCCATTTCCAAGATGACTCAGATGCCAGGGCCTATGTGTTAGCGCTGTTACAACGTTTCTATCAGCTTGTCTCATCTGGAAGATCAAGATGAAAATACCGTAGTTCACACAACTGCCAAGCTGCATAGCAGCACTGAATATAAATTGCGAGACATTAGATGCAGCTCCATCCCAGTCCTTTTCCCCTTTCCAACCCCAATCCTTGTTTAACTCTTTTTGAAAACTGGTATACTATTGTACTGTTTTTTTCTTTAAAGCATGCTGAGTAAGGGACTGCTCTTATGTTAACAACATGCTGAAGCAGAACAGTCAGACAATAGTGTAAAATATACAGTAAATGGACTTGACAACAAGAATTAGGAAACAGTTTAAGAATAGTCTACTTTACATCAAAACATGAGATTCATTTTTATCTTGCACACAGATACCTGGCCACATGGCAATTTTAACAGTGACACACTTTTTTTTCAGAATGGGAAGAGTTGCTGTAGATTCATAATATACACATCTAATGAGCACAGAGTCATATGCTAAGGTGATGCAGGAGTTTTATGATTTATGCTTCATTTATTTTCAGTCTTACCAATTTTAACAATCCAAAACTACTCTGGAATTTTAAGCTGTATATCCCACTGAAAATCCCAGCTAGAAATAAAAAATCCAGAATAAGCTTTTAGGAAACGTCACCTTATAAACAACATCTGGCATGAAAGAACAGACTATGCTGTTGTTATACAAGCGAGGAAATTCCAGGTAGAGTTGTTTTAGAGCATCAACTGCCTGCCAATTAGAGACACACATAGATGTTATATTTATATATATATATACATAAACACACACACATACTTTCTTTACACTGCAAACATGTTAGAATAATCCCCTTTAAAATACTGTCATGTTTTGTGTAGCAAGACTGAAAGGGAA